TGCGTGGACACATTGTCCATGTCGCCGCAGTCCTACAGTGAAACTGTGAAAAGTCAACTAAGCGGATGTGGCTCCATACCTGTTAACACGACTAGGTTAATAGAGGCGAGTGGTAAATCTGCACAAAGTGGGAATAGTATAACACCCATAACCACAGTAGGCCTTGAAACAAACAGGAAGGCCAATAAGAAACGTTCACGACGTCGCAATACGACGAAGACATTTCCCAAGAAGGCAGACGATTGCAAGGTCTGCAATTCTGTTGTCGAACAAGTAAACTCTGCTTTCGAATGCAACTTTTGTAAGCAATAGATACATTGTAGATGTGACACCGGGGTACCAAAGGTATATTACGATTTTATGCGTAAGAACCCATGCCCATGGTTCTGGTACATATGCCCAAGTTGCTGTCCTAATGCAGCCTCGTGTAGTTCCTCGAAAGCTAAAGATGGCATAGAGGTATCAGGAAAAAACGTGAAACTTTTTACTCCCACCAACTCAGAAAACAGCACAATTGCATGTAAATCGGGGATACCAAAATCCACACCGGTTATACTTGCAATTCCTGCCATAACTGCCCCAGACACAGAGGTTGAAGCACCAAGGGTATCTGTCCCTGGGAAAAGACCCTCACCGTCCACCAGTAATAGTGGCCACGGTATTGCGACACATAATAATACCCAGTTGCACTAGACGAAACAAAACGGTCTTAAGGGGGATGACAAATGTGCGAGGACCGAACCTAAATCCACGGTTACTAGATCAAACTGCGTTATCCTCTTTAATGTACCAGACTGTAGCAGTAGTCCGCTGGAAAACAGGGCCCTGTTTGATCAGGAACAGTGGCCCAACTTATGTAGCACACTGGATCTGGACATCCAACCAGTAAAACTATACAGATTGTATAGGGGCACTGCTGCTCCTCAAGGCAAACCATCCCCACTGAGGGTAACACTAGGCTCTACCGAGGATGCCGAAAAAGTTTTATTGACTTCCCAAGTCCTTTCTATAGGGAGGACCTGCAATATACGTGTTAGGCCAGATAGGCCATGGAAGGAAAGACAGATGGCGAGGGAGTCGTCAGGGCTTATTCCTTCTGTCTCCATGGTTGTTCACGGCATTCCCGAACTGGTAACTAGGAACGCTTCTGAGAAGCACTGTCACGATGTCCAGCAATGGAGATGGTTGGCATCCCAGATGGGTCTGGGAAGTTCAGGGGCTGTTTCTATTTTTAGACTGATAGACCCACTCACCTAATGTCAATTAACACTCCACGTCTGTTAGCTGTTAAGTTCAGCTCCCGAGACCACTTGACTACTGCTCTCCAGAGATGGTACGAGACCAAGGAAAAGGTCAGCAGACACATTCGCTGCCACGAGAGCTGGCCTCGTACCCAAAAGAGAGAACAAAACGTTGTCATAGAACATCCCCAACTCCTAGTCACAATAAAGCGGTGCAGCACGGACGATGATAGCCAGTGTCATCCAAGTGCTCCGATTGAATCAGAAGGAAAAAACGCCAACAGGCCGGTTCCCGGGGAATCGGCCAACTAGTTCGTAGGATAACTCCTCAACCGACAGCCCACATCACGTCAAACACCCCCCAATACGGGGACGTGGTGAGACTGACTACCACTTTCCTGTACAGTAATGTGAGAGGTCTAAGAGGCCTAATAGCTGAACTTAGTTACCTACAATCACAGCTGAACTCCAAAATCATAATACTGACGGAAACCTGGCTAACCCCTACGGTGGCAGACAGCGAAGTCAGTATAAATGATATTGTCCTAGTCAGGTGAGATAGGGATCTGAAAGAAGGAGGTGGAGTCGCCATATACGTCGACAAACAGCTCAGATGTGTCCATGCAATCGACCATCCCCTCATTGAGCTCCCTGACTCAATATGGTGCCATTTCACCGTTGGGTACCGTAAGTATCTAGTGGGCAGCATTTACAGATCACCTTCATGGGGAGCAGACCACAACCAGGTACTGCTGAATGCAATTTCAGCGACACAAAACATGGGTTATGATCAAATTGTCATAGCTGGAGACTTCGATGCCTCATCTCTTAACTTGATGACGGGATATGCCCAGGATAGATTTGATCGAAATCTGCTGCATACCATCAGGGAGGCCGGATTCACTGAAAATGTCAGAATGGATACTAGATGGGGCCCAGATGGGAAGTCTTCTAGACTGGATTACGTGCTAACTAGTGACCAGCTACTAGTGGAAAACGTTCAGATCACGATTCCCATAGGTATTAGTCACCACGCGGTCATAACATTCGACATAGCCCTATCTGTGTTATAACAAAGCCAATTACACCGAAATGCGAAGACTTTTTTCTGAAGCAAATTGGCCAAAAAATTGGACAGAGCTTACAGTAGAAGAACACTGGGGAGTGGTAAAAGAGATCATTCACCAGGCGGTCTCAGACACTGTTCCTTTAGTCACACCAAAAGCTAGAAAGCAACGTTCATGGCTAAAAAGGGGGACACAACGCCTTCTACAGGCGAAGCAAAAAGCCTGGTTTGCGTGGCGAGTATCGAAGAGTCAACCCGAACATGAAGTGTACCTCGAACTCAGGAATCGATGTAACATAGGAGTCCGGAGTGATAGAAGGACATTTCAGAGAAACCTCGCCAATAAGCTTCTCGTGAACCCCAAAAGCCTATACAGGTTTATGTCTGAAAGAAAACTGTCCAACCAGGGAGCTTGCAATCTAGTGGGTTCTGTTGGGAAATCTCTTACTAGTCTTGAAATGGCGGAGACATTCAATCTAGCCTTTCACAGGCAACTGAACAGTAACAAGGATTTTACCCCCACAAAACATCAAGATTACAATGCAAGACCAACGTGCGAAAACCTGCTGGGTACATTTCAAATTACCCCGGCTATGGTACTCGTAAAGTTGGGAAAGTTGGCTTCGGGAAAGTCTGCAGGTTGCGATGACATAAGACCATCCGTCCTGAAGCAGTGTTCAGAAAGTCTCTGCCAACCCCTAAGTGATCTGTTTCAACACTCCTTTGATGTAGGGAAACTTCCATGTGAATGGAAACGAGCCATCCTATCCCCTATCCTCAAGGGTGGTGACCGGCAGAACGCGACCAGTTACAGACCAGTTGCGCTACTCCCAGTGATATCGAAGATATTGGAAAGTCTCATTGACGACCACATGAGAAAATACTTCGACGGGACTAACCTACTCCATGAAGCACAGCGCGGTTTCAGGAGGGGAAGATCCTGTGTGACGAATCTTCTACTAGCTTGGAACGATTGGACACTATCCTGGGATGTAAAGGTACCAGTCCATGTGATCTTTCTCGACTTCGCGAAAGCATTCGACACAGTTCACCATGGTCTGCTCCTTCACAAAATAAGCAGGGCGCGTGTTTCTGGAGCACTTCTCGCATGGCTGGAAGATTACTTAGGCGAGAGAGAATTCTGCACCAAAGTCAACCGCATCCGATCATCCTGGCACACCTCGGCATCAGGGGTTCCTCAGGGTTCTATCTTAGGGCCGTTGATGTTTTTGATTTTTATCAACGACCTGCCCTGTCAACTGAACTGCTCTGCGCTTCTTTAATCTGACGACGTAAAGATTTGGAGAGCAATAAACTCATCGGAAGACTCCGACAGATTGCAGGCTGACCTGCAAACTCTGGGAGACTGGGCTCTGGCTAACGGAATGCCTTCCAACCTAAAGAGGTGCAAAGTAGTGCAACTTCATTCCGGCAGGTCACAGAGTGTAAATTACACCCTTGGTGGCCAGAACTTGAGTTGTGTGCCATCAGAACGCGACCTAGGTCTTATTTTAACAGAAAAGCTAGACACCAGTGTAAATTACACGAGGGACGTCGCCAAAGCTTACGCAACTTTACACTTTATGCATAGGCAGCTGGGAGCTCTTACTCCTGAACTATTCTTAACGTTGTATACGACATACGTGAGGCCACTCCTTGAGGTACATAATATCATTGCTCCTCCGCTACTCACAAGGGATGCTAAAATTCTAGAAAGTGTCCAGAGACGAGCGACAAAATGGGTGATCGGCCTCCGCAACAAATCATACGAGGAAAGACTGAAGAAATTAAATCTTTTCACACTTAGTTACCGTAGTCACAGGGGAGACCTCATCACCGTCCATAAGATCTTAAATGACCAGGCCCACCCTAATAAGAGCATCCTGCCATTAAGTGATTATAGGCTTCCACGAGGTAACCCGCTAAAGATAGCGCACCAGAGACCAAAGACTCGAGTGCGTTCATATTTCTTCTCACTTCGAGTTTGCCGTCTCTGGAACGCTTTACCGGCGGCCGTAACTACTGCGCCATCTGTGGAGACTTTTAAGCGGAAGCTGGACAATCATGCAGTAATGCATGGTTTGTGTCTCAATGGCTTACCCTCTTAAAATTTGAAACCACATTGTCACTGGATAAGCATACAAGCTAAATCCCCACGACCCGTCCTGTCTTCTCCCACTGTATCGACTACCCTATCCTTTCTTTCTTTCTTTCTTATTTCACCTTCATCATTTCACTTATCTCAACCTATATTATCTACACTACAACCTATTATTATTCTACTTTTATGACTATACCGAATGACCAACGGGTATTAGGTCAAACTCCATTCACGGCAGCAGCTGAGTCCTAACATACTGCACACTACAAACCACAGTCTTGACCAATCCCCGCACCACTCCTCTTGGAGTCTACCAGAGCTAAAGCAGTCGAGTGGCGGGATTTACTACGCATAAGTTCACCGAAGATCTGTAACCTCTACCTTACAATCAAGAAGCGAGGTCAAAGAAATCACTGGTTTATACTAGCTTGTAATCAGGATATTGGATATTGGATACCTTGTGGCGCTGGTTATAGTACTAGATATGGATGACAAATTTAAAGAGTTGGAATGTGCGTATATCATGACCTGATCAGGTCATTGATTAGACTGCGGACTTCATTATCTAAAGAAGTTTCTACCTCTGTTTATAGTAAGATTTACTTGTGGTGATGTCTTACTATAAACAGAGGTAGAAACTTCTTTAGATAATGAAGTTCGCAGTCTAATCAATGACCTGATATACGCACATTCCAACTCTTTAAATATGTCATCCATATCTAGTACTATAACCAGCGTCACATGGTATGACTTCTGACAAGCGATCGTATGAAACAACAGTAGATCTTAATTCCAATAATTATAATGGAGTTCTTTCTTGATTATCCTCTAGGTGTTGACAGCGAAGTCCGTCGCTTACAGGACGAGAACGAATCTTTAAAAAGGTAGACTCCTCAATACACTTATGTTCTTAGATCGTTAAGGCATATGGAGGATGTCATGAAAGGCAAAGAAATGGAGACATGCGGTTTGCGTAAGTCAAGTTTAAAAATACTAAGTCTCTTAGGTCGCCAAGTACAAAGCTTTTCTTCTGGGGGAGCTATGTGCACTGTATGCTCCCGAACAGCCAATGTCACAGCTGACTTGTCGGGTGCTGAGAGATGCAAAACAAAGTCCATCTTAAATCATAAACGTCCTCATTTGAATGTAAGCTGTTTTGTCCAAATTAGTTAATGTAGTACCTTTTCCCGTTTATATGGCTATCTCCCTCTGTAAGTCTATACACATTTGTGTGTATGTGTGAATCGGACAGAAGTTCTGTGCCACTCAAATACATCAATACGACTGCGGTAGTATTGAATAGTACGGATTTATAGTAACAACCGACGGCAATGTGAATCCCGTTCACATCCTTCCTTGTGCAGTGCCTGTTACACTCATATGACTAATTCCGTAGATCACCTGCGATAATCAGAAGTCGTTTCCATTATGAAACTAAGAAAAACAATGTTTCAGAAATCAGTAAAGTGAATATCAAAATTAAGATGTAAGACCACTGTACAAAATCGATGAAATTTTCTCACCTTGAATAAGACTAAACGGAAATGCACAAAATGATTGCAATTATAATTAGTTGAAGTGGACGTCATGAATATAGGTAGAAGGGTAGCGGAGAAAACTGCAACTAATGCCCAACTCGTATGCTTCTACTAAAATTGCAATAATTTTGTCTGATATTCTTGACCCAACTTCTAAAAAACAGTTCTTAAAATGAACCTGCAGGCCTTGCTGCTTTTAATTTTCAACTTAAGTTGAGGTTGTTTGTCAAACATCCCTACAATATGCGGATAAACAGGTGACAATTGTATTGCTTCTAAGATCGAGTTGAATTTTTCCTCTAAGCAGCCTGTTTATTTCACAATCTCTTCTCTTGCAAGGGGACTTTGACCCATGTTGCTAACCCTTAGTTTTCTAACTGTCTTAGTAACTGAATTGACTTTTTGATCTCACCTGCGCTGCATTTTTCATTTCATTGGTTTTCCCTACTTACAATCTGCGTTTATAAGTTGTTTTCAGCCTACAACTAACCTGCCCTATTACTTCATTGTCATCTAAGCTTACAGAAATACATTTTCGTATCTGCTGCTTCTCAAGAAGATGCAGAAATAGGTCTTATTTAGCTATTTTTGGAAGACGAGAAACAGTAGACGGAGTAATGCCAGACTTCTCCAAGACCAATAACTGTTGTGTCTCACCACTGATCGTTTCTTCAAATCCAGTATTAATATTCATTTTATCAAAATAAGCCCATTCGAACTTCTCATCTGTTTTTCTTTTGTGTGCACTTGAGTGAGAATAAACGTTCGTAGTAACTAGTGCATGAGAACTGCCTACGTATGCCCCAGGGAAATATGTAGTTGTTTTCATAACAGTTGTGATTTGACAAGTTGCATATTTTGAAAACTGTGGCTGAACTGTGCTCGTAAATTTTTCCTTGATATTTGAAAGACTTCAGCATCAAATGGTGCATCCGTTTCGACCTCGAGCAGCAGTATCAAGCAACCAATCAAGAAACGCCCATGTGTCCAAGACACTGTGACGGAGAGTATCCTGGACAACCATGTCAACACAACACCTACTGGTAAGTACTTTACTCATACGCATTATTGTTTACTGTATCAGATATTCATTCGAACAGAAACTGCATTACACTCTACATCACTGACTTTCGATAACTACTTCCTCGGCAGTTTTCTGTGGTTTTCCACCTTTCTCGCAGTTGGATAACAAGACTGAAATAACTAGTCTGGTGAGAGCTTTCTAAACTAATTTAATGTGATCGCATGCAGGTGATTATTTCCTGTAAGCCCTGATATATTCTAAACAAACAAAGCCTACGACTTAACACTACAGAATGCTGTGGTGTTCAGTTTCATTTCTATCAGAACCAGCAGAATTAAGACGAGTTGACTCATCAGCGCGAATCCATGCACAAAATCGCACACTCTAGAAAAGTACACATGAAACTAAGGAAAAAATGTATTTCAGCTAACTTTGTCAGGAAAGTTAGTGACTCGAGCTCTTTGACTTCATTGGAGGACTTTCCCTTCTTACCTAACACTACGCGTAGCCTCATTATGACTAACCATGTTGCTCCACCCAAAATGATTGTGAATGTGGTCCTCTTGTTAATAACTGCTTGTCATTTCTTACCTCCCGCTTTCGGCGACATCTCAGCTGATGGATGACTAAATATCACGCTTACACCACTATGTATATATATATATATGTATATAGTGTAACTGTATACATGTTGCTGTATAAATTTCCGCTGCTTTCCCTCCTAGATCAGAGATGGCTTTTGCTACTTGGGCTACACTAAGAGGAAGCTCAGACGGGGTTTTGATGGTGGGCAGTTGTAGTACAGCTGCTTACTAATTGTCTGCATACTGCACGATGTCAATAGGTAGTATATATATATATATATATCACCCTGGTAACTAAACTTGTGATAGCTATCAGACATGCATTTGGCATTAGCATCGCTATGCTGAGGGATTTCCTGTCGCTCACCAAGTGTATAACCAATCAGGTGTCGGTATCGTGGATAGGTGCTTTCCTTCCTAATTAAATGGAAACCTGATTGATTACTCATTTAGTTGCTGAGATATCCTTTAAAATCACTCAGAAATAGGAGGCAAGCACATATCTCTCTTTTTATTTGCAAATATTCATTCGCAGGGTGTTGAGTGATTTCAAGTTAGGTTACGAATCGACATCATTTCGAGAATTACTGAAAAGTTAGTGAGTACTAGAAAGATATTTTGCCCTAGCTGGCGACTCTTCACAGCATGCACTCTGGGATCGTTTGGTTATAAGGCAATCCTGTTGACCATTCTACCAGTTGAAGAGAACTCAGTGGTCCATGAGTTATAACTTGTGCTAATTCGTGACATACAGAACCAGCACCAGCCAATGTCATCGGTGAGCACCTGACCCTACAGTCAACTTCTGTCACGATTTCTCACTAGAACTCTGGGCAACTTCATCCTGTATGAATCACTAGTGAGCATTAGATTAATTTTCAAGTTCTATCATTTTATTCGACTAAGTTCACCAATTAATTAGAAGTTATGTAATGACTCATCGCCTTTAATTTTCTATATGAAAAGTAATCAAAATGATTAGCATAAAGCATCATATTTTACATATTCTCTTCATGCTGTAATTGAAGTTATTAATTGAGATTTGGTTAATAGATTAAGTGTTTTTAACATTTTTAGCTATCAATGGGAAATCTGTAAACTATAGTCCACAGAACACATCAACTTCACTATCTAGTACAAATGGAACATTAAATAAAGCTCAATCCAAAGACAGTATTACTGCTCATTCAAATTGTCTTCCTATGTCTAATTCAGATCAAAACGATGATCAATTTTTATATAATCAAATTCAAGATGATATACTCATTAAAATATTGAATACAATACAACAGTTAACGGCTAAACTTGATGCTGATGCTAATCCACCAGAGGTAATCCAAAATTGTCGTGCAATTCAAGCCTGTTTAGATACAATTAATGCAATAAAAAGAGTAAAATCAAATCGATCCGATGATGAGTGTAGTAGATCAGAAGTATCATTAGCCTCATACAATTCACATTTTACACATCATTTAAATTCACTAAGTACTAATTATTCTATACAACAGCACAATGGATTCTCATCATCATCATCATTATCACCACCACCACCACAACAACAACAGCCCAGTGTTATTCAACCTTTATAAAAAATTTATTTTTCTATTTATACTACGGTTTTCGTTAGTAGCAGTATTTGTATCATTAATTTTATTTCCCAAAAATACCATGTACGTTCGGTTTTTAAAATAATAATAATAATAATATTTACGGATTCTGATTATTTTCATGGATTTTGTTTTACTTGCTATGTGTGTAATCTTAAGTATGTAGAGCCGTTATTGATGTTTACACAAATAAGCAAGCACTATTCAGTTTTCTTTTCATTATTCCATATTACCATTTCGTATTTAAATGCTGCATTAAACAAAGAAATTAAATAGAATTCTATGAAACAATGCTCTCAATATCATACATACATATATATATTAATGGAAACCGGTGAAGTTTTAAATTGTATGAAGTTAACAGTATTTCTCTCTAATCCCTTTATAACGTGTGAATTATAGTCGACAAATGGTGTTGTTATCTTTGTTTGTCTAATGACAAAAAGTGATTTTCATGCTTAGTTTTGTTACTTGCTTAATAATAATACAATGCGTATCATTTTATTTTTTATAGTTTTTTAAAATGAATTTATATTTTTCTTCGTATTGTTTTGATATTTACATTTTGATTAGTATTTTCTGTGAATTTTAATCTTTTCATAATAAACCAGTATACATCTATACTTACATATACATATATTGGCTTAATTATTTTTCCCTCCTCACATTTCGAGTAGAATATGTATGAATGGTTTCAAGTGGTTAAGTTTCAGTTGTACTGTTGTTGGGTTATGTTTGCTGGGTGAGGAGGTTGCCAGCCTACTACCCTCTTCTCCAGCTTTACCATTATAGCTAGATGAGGTTTTTGAGTGCGTGGAGGTGCAGTTGGAACTCGAGGTACTCTATCTCTGATGAGCATGCTATCATTGAACTACTGCCTCATTGTACGCATTTCACCCTATTCGCGAACCGTCATCTGGATATATCCACAATCAAAAGTGTGTCATCACATCGCAAATCAAAAGCCCTAACCTTTTGAATTCCAACTTTTCTCCAAAAATATAAACAGCTAAATGTGCCAAAAGTTTAGTTTAGATAAATGAATTTTGAACAGTTGTACGTTGTGATTTATGATAGTAACAGGAAACGATTTCATTTCATTATTGTCTAGTAGGTTCAACAAAATGATCATAGTAAATGTGTTCTAGGATGTATTAATAAATTGTCTAAAGGAATGAAACGACATCAGATAAATAATACGAACTATACTCGTCATAGAGGTATTAATATTGATAAATATATTAAGAGTGACTACTGAGACTATATGAGATATATTCAGATTAGTGAAGTCATATAATACATATGGTTTGTGAGGATTGAAAAAGGATATAGCACGCGACACTACAGGATTATAACCCTCAGATTACCATCTGAGTTCGGATGCCTCTTAGACCGTACACTTACAAGAGAAAAGTCAAAGTTTGTGGCTCTTCGAGGTTTCAGTTGCGCTTCAATTACCACACTTTACCAATGAAGACTAACTGGTCAATTCAAAGATCAGTAGGGTAATAAAAGTGATGAAAAATCATCTTCGAAGTGAAAGTTGAAACTATGGATTTACTGTACATCAGACTCGAAGTTTAATTACTTAAAAAAGTGACAAGCAAATGGTCTCATTCAGTACTGGACTTATACATGACTAAGTTTTCTGCTCTTGGTCTTACCTGCGATGAGATACATGTGAACACTATTAAGAATGTCCATTGTTCAAGAAGGCTGCTTATCTCGACTATCAACTTTTCATGCTAATTTGTTAATCCGAATTAGAGCATGTGATCCTGCTAAGATGCGGATTTGCGTAATTTAGTTCAGGCCGGGGTTCATAAATCCGAGCCAGTCACATCACTAATGCTCTTGACTAACACTAGGTAGCGCAAACTAAAGGAAGTCAAGACTTCGGTGGAAAAGTACGCTGGTCAATAGTGGGAAGTGACAAATTTATTACCACAGAAAAGGTTATTACTTGATTTAAATGTTTTTCCAACATAATTTCCTATCCACATAGATTCGTGGGTTTCCATACATTATAAATCCACTATGAAAGGCTAGTATATGCTGATGAGACGAAATCCAATCATTGATTTGGCCTTCTCTTAATTAAATGGTGTAAGATCGCTTCCGAATGGTTATAACATGTCCCAACAAATACAGTGCAGTGTGCATATTTTCAAAATTAAGAAACTGAAAGTAACCCCTAACAAGGACACTTAGATTGTTGAATTAGTGCTAGATTTTGCTGACCGACAATCCTTTTCCGAAATCCATGAACAGCATATTTCATATTCTGTATAGAATGACGACGACTCGAAGTATAAATAATATTTACTTTCTTAATATAGAGGACTTCCCATTTTAAAATGTCTCTTTCGTTTCAGCTTGAAAAGATAAACCATGTTATTTGGATTCTTTTATTTACAGTATCTTGAAGCAGCGTGGAGTTGATGATATAAATGGAGTTGTTTTATGTAGTGAATCTGATGTGTGTTAGCGGTCTACTTAATTGTTAGAAGAAGTATAGTATTAGAACGAAGCGCTTTATGGGTAACCGCGAGAGGATATATGAGCGAAATAATCGGTTCCTACTTCAACGTAGTTAACGTTACGTATTTGTCTATAATTAAGATTCGTACTCAATAATGGATAAACAAAATTTAATGCTACATTTCTGACAACTAACATTTGGAAATTAGGCTCTTACTACTACGAAACACAAGCTTCCATGTACACCAAGGTGCAGTGAATCACTCTTATGACTGAATAAGGAAGATGTAATAGTTCACCCAGGAAAAAGTACATGTGAAGTCAAAACAAAAAGGAACGTTTCAAGTGCTCAGTTTGTAGTGACATGACACTTAAACTGAAGAGTCTCAGTACTCCCTGGTCTTCAATTGACGATCGTCTATAAGGTAGTATACCCTGAAATAATAGCACCCCTACAACTTCTTCTCGTTTCCCACTGACTGATGCATAGTCCAGTCCACCACGATTAGGAATATCATTGGTGATAATAAGCACCTTTGTCTGACTCCTGTGTTTACGTAAAACACCTTGCTGGGTTTTCCATTGTGGATCAATTGACATGTGCCGTTGTCTTACAGCTGTTGAATAAGTACGCCTTAGTACTCGAGTAGTTGTCAAATTACTTCGCGGTCAACGCTGTCGAAGGCCTTTTCAAATTCTATAAAGTTGGGGTAGAGGTTTGATTGCCATTCCATGCTTTGTTCGATGATGATGCGTAGAGTTGCAATTCGGTCAGAACATGATTTGCCTTTCCTGAATCCAGCTTGTTCTGGTCGGAATTCTGCATCAAGTGCGTCCTCTATTCTCTCCAGGATGATGTGACTCAGAATTTTACTTGGCGTCGACAGGAGCATAATTCCTCGCCAGTTCTTGCAGAGTCCTAAGTTGCCTATAGCAATACTGTCATCCAACCAATAAATCAAAGGTCCTAAAGGAAATCCAAGTATTCAAGCGCCACAAAAAGCTTAACAGACAGTTTCTCTATAAACTTACAGGAGACTGAGAGTAACCAATCAATACATAGTGAGACTAACATTACCGCTACATTTAAGGAAGGCTTACATAAGGCCTTTCAAAATCTGAGCTCCGAAAGTCTACATTTATCAAGTAAGAAGTCAATAGCACCTTAGTAAAATGCCTCATTTTACAGAACGGTAAACGGTTCGTCAATAACTGTGTGGATTTTCACTAAGATGTGATATACCAAAGTAGATACAGCAAACTGATGAAGCTATTATAAAAATTTCTCATCGTTAAGTTAATGAGGACTACTTCAATGTAGCAAAGGATGGTATCTTCAGTTCTCGGAACTATTTAGACGAATCGCCTATATCTATATATGATAGAGAGGTGTATAGATGGAATCCTTTATTACAGAAACGTTAGAAACAGAGGTCTCTTCACAGTCGAAAGTTACTCAAGCGAGAATGGTACTACATTGTTGATTCTATCAGTCTGTCTATCTAAGACGAAAAACTTTAGGTAACCCTTAGTAAGAATTTTCTGGAACAACGAAATGAAGTGAATGACTTTATTTTGAAAAAAATATATGAAGAAAAATCTTTGGTTATTCTCCGTTACAGCAAATTTAGTAAACGGATCACATAGTAAAGTAGTCATGAACAGTTAATTGAATTAATTAAAACAAACTAAATTGGTTACATATCAGCCTGAATTGAACGAAAGCTTAAAGGGTAACGACGACGACGACGAGAAATATAAGGTGAGGCATTCTCGACATCATTTTTGTCTACGCTTTTGGTATTCTCCTTTTCATCGTCGTTATCATTACTGTTACGTTGCTCCAACTCAAGATCCCAAAAACCTGTTGGCGTTGATGGAGGTCTGTCATTGAATGACCTTCCAGCTCTTACTTTATCATCCTACATTAAATTAATCATAGAAAATACAAAAGCAATTCAACACGATTGCAAAAGCATATCTCAACAAATATGTAGAAAGCCAAATAAGCTTAGCATCATCCATTAAATTTCTCAGTGAAAATATGAATTTGTGTTGAATACTAACTGATTTTATTAAAAAAATTAAAGATAATCTAGGGAAATTTCTTAGGATCTAATAATGAAATCATGAAAATAATCAAAAGATGCTTGACATGTGTTATATTAATGTTAAATTAGAGAAAGTATAAAACCTATTGAACTCCTCAAGACGGTCGCAAATCAATGGAAGTTAAATACCTTCGTTATCTCACTTCCTATTTATGAATGAATTAATTGTAATGCTTTTGTCTGATGAAACGATACCTCGCAGTAATTAGGAGGATACTTTAACACCAGTGAACGATGAATTGAAGACCATTTTGGAACATACAACGATCATCAGTCTTTGTTTGTACAATTTCCACGATTATGAGTAGAAATTTTAAAAAAGCCATCAAATCGGCATTGTTAGCATGGGTGAATCTGATGCAACATCGTTAATTGGACACTCTGAAACACATAATTAAGCTACTACATATGACAAGGACATTATTTCTTATTTTGTTGACGAGAAACATCTTGGCTTCGTATACACCTCTTGAGTTTAGCTATAGAGCAGTAACGTCTACTTTGTGCCGCTCCAGCGGCTTCAATAACTGCTAATTTCGCCAGCCAAATTATGGATGAGACTTATACTGCAGGGGAAAATAGTAAATCTTAGCAACAAATCCCCCTTTTAAAATGCAATGACTCATATTTCTATCTTCCTCAAGTATTTTAAATTTCTCAAAATCATATCAGTAGGCCGACGATTATGTAGACTAATTGCCAGAAGGCGTTCACTGAATAGATTATTAAAATTTGTGATTTCAAGTAAGTATGCAACCTTTATTACCACTGAATTAACAGCCAATTATGTTAAGCACAAACTATATTATAATCAACTCCTCCAAAATATTCTGGATGTTTCATCATTTGGGGTTATTAAACATTTCATCAAATTTCTACGGAACAATTTAATAGGTACTTATTCATTTCCAGGCAGAAAATGTGTGGAAAAGAGAATTATCTAACCTTTAAGTGAGCTTCCTTTCGGTGCCGGTATAGAGAAGTTCTGCATTTGTACACACGATTGCAATGATCACAAGGATAAATATTCTTCGTAATATTTTCTTTCTTTGCATCTGCTTCCTCAGGCATATGATCCGCGTTAACCTAGTGTTGAAAGGAAAGTCTACATAGAGACAACTGATAATCCATTGAATATGACATTCTGTTGAATTTATTTCTATAATATCTACTAAGGAGGATATTTTCAATAATTGAAGGGAGTGATCTTGAAAATTCAGTGCTCAGGAAGATGAATAATACTACTTAATCATAACGACAAAAAATCAAATCAATGTACGCCTAACGAGATTTCACTGTCAAAGCTCCCTAGAGAGCATGAAATTTTAAACACTTCTAGTGATCAAGTAACCATATTCCTTATATATGTTCCCAGATGTATTGAACACCAACGTTTTCAATGTTATCATCTGCAGTTACGTCGCTTTTTTCCTTTTGTTAGAAAATATCTAGTCCGAAGACCAAAGAAGACGCAATGTACGAGGTCGACCATTGGAATTAAAACGTAGGAACACTGCATGAGAAATAAAGGTGATTCAGAAAAAACGAAAAATATGCCAACAAGATCATCGTCCTCATTTTGGAATAAAAATATGTGTATTTGTTGTTGTCAAGGGGTAACCAAGGTATTGGTGTAGTTCAAACCACAGTTAAAACATAATAGGTTTTCATTCTGTCGCCACTTCCAGACCCTGTCAGGGATATTAATATTTTGAAAACTAAAGAATAAGACAGCTTACTTTGGCATTAATATTCGAGGAAGAGCGAAGTATATTGTCCGCGAGATTTCCACATTTTACGGGTAATGGACACTTGAAACATGCATCGTCACGAGTGGGAGAACCACCAATGGAAGGTAAATGAATTTTCAACTTGAGTTTCATTGGGGACTCTGCAAATGTATAGGAAAGAGATGTGAATGTGACATCACTTCAACTATAAATCCTATCTAGGGTCAAGTGCCTAATCAACTGCTCGGGTTTTGCGTGAATAAAAAACACTTCAATTTCCTTTTGGTGTTTACCGTTCAATGCAGTAACATCACCACATATACATATATATATATATATTACAGTTTTGCAACGAACTAGGTTAATTCTTTTCGAATAGTTTTGAGTAAGGCACTGGCACTATTTACATTCATGTACCTTAGGCGAAGAGATGCTGGGAAATACACAAACTGTGTTTACAGATTCAGGTGCCGAAAGACAGAGTATTACTCCTTACATTCAGCCTGCTGGTATCAATTATTCAGGAAATATTAGGAAAACGTGAAATTCAATCATCTGGCCAAAGCTCATCTCATAAGTTATGGGTTACACTTAATATGATGTCTTATACTAATTGTTCAGGCAAATAAGATTAGGCACCTGTGGTCTATTGTTTCGATTTTGAGTGCATCACCCGTCGTCACGTAAAATAAGACAGACGGATAACCAAATCAACACAGAATATTGAAAAGTGTGTCATTATACTGCAAACAACACAAGAAATGAGGAGAAGTGTACCGATACGACGACGAACAAACATGTGTAGAAAACAAAATTTAGACTGATGGGTTTTGAAACCTTATACTACGATTCTCTTACTACTGACTGTCAAATAATCCAAGGAGCAATCACATAACCTAGGCCTGGCTTAAGATGCCACAAAGATATCCGGAACTTCATTACGTAGCTAAAACTAGCAGCTAGACACTTCATGGATTACTGCTATGTTTGTCAAGCCTTCTTTAGAATTGCTTTTCTTCAACCTAAGTGTAACCTGATCAGTATTGTTCATTGAGAAATGCTCTGGATGAATATGCACAAAGAGAATTCATGAAGTAAGAAAAATATTAAAAAATCAGCTCAACCATAGGAAACTTAAAGGTAGCATTATAGTCTTACGCGAAGTGTTCTAACCTAAAAACAACGGTTTGAGTAAAATAAGATGGTAACATTTACTTTTTTTAAATCTGGATACTTTGAAAAGGGGGTTACGTAAGAAAGGTAAAGGATGGATAAGTTGATGATACGTGACTGTTATATTGCGTAATGTGATGAGTTCAACTCAAATAATATTACAAAAAGAAAACCAATTATAGTATACCAAAAGCGAAGAAGTTAAAGCAAAAGATTACGTAATCAAATATAACAGAGTTAAGAATTTGAGTTACCAGGGCGAAGAATTTTATATATATATATATTTTTTAATATTTTTGATTACAGCTTGATTCCACACCGTATTATTTTTGGTACAGGTATGGAATTTTCAGCATGTGATACCGGTAGCCCAAATTTTGCAGGCCGACCATAGATATCAGGTGTGCGTCGGCAGGGGATCGAACCCCGAACCATGTGCATGGTCGGCGAGAGTCCTAACCACTGTGCCACCGACGCACAAGAAAGACTGATTACTGCTTCTTTCTGAACGCAAAGCAGGTTTTAAACATTTGGTAGCAGTAGCTTCGACAGACCTGATAACTTTGAGATATTTACTTCATGACTGTTGAAAGCGTTACCTCCCTTGAGTCGTAGGCTTTTCAGTAAATATTCAGAGAACCTAAAGTGTGCTATCTTTCTTTTCTACAATATAACTGCTACTAAAAATACAAGTAAATCTGAATACAAAGTTAGAATTACCATGGGGAGACTAACTACTGACCTGTGATTGCACCAAAGAGCATGTCCCTTGGTAAACAGGATCCAACTCAGCTGTAGATTAGTTTATGTTATGACTAGTGAAGTGTTCAATCTTCTCTTGACTGGCCCAATAAAATTATCACCTTTAAAATCACCGTGATGTCTTGCAGTTATATCTACAGACCTTACTTACTTATTAATGAATTCCTGTAAATAACCGTTATATCTCAAAATCCACTATTTTTTCCAATTTTTCAATGGAGCATAATCTTCACTCTGCAAAACACGGTTTTGACATATGCTAGTTTACAGTTCACCGAACAAAAACTAGTGAGACTTATAAATTGTTCATTCCACGCAGACTTTCACTGAACGGATCTCTCAAGCACTGCACGGCAAAGTCAAGAAAATGCAACTTCCCATTACCTCAGTATTTCCATGTGTATCACTGAATGGTCCAAGTAGATAGGATGCATAGGTTCCATTGTCACGAATGTGTTATCAACACATCGACGATAAGCTGTTTCGTCGATTGCACATTTAAGCTTTGTTCTCTTTAAATTAAACATGGTGTTTGTTAATGCAGGACCTAGTGAATTAACCATAGCTATATCATCTACTTGACTGTAGACAGTATTATCAAATCGGAATAGCACATCCTTGTTACACATCAATTAGTAGGGGTTTAAATTCCAGCACTTGTACAAGAAGAAGTCCAAAATGCTAACAAATAATAAAGATGGTCTCATGAATCAGGATGCTTATGATCCAGAGTTACAACAAATAACAATATGAACTGATTGGAAACGTTATTATGGCCCAGGCTTTCAACTAACTAAAATTTATCATTCACAGTATATGCAGCCAGTCGTTAACGAATGATTAGGAATCTTCTTTGCAGGTTAATGAACGAAGCATCTGATTTTTTAAAGTTATATATAAGTTAAAAAAATTAGTCCCTTTGATAAATTTGAATAATGCATTTGTCTTCTACATGCCTTGGAGTACAATCTATGATTACAGCCTTCTATAAACTGACATCATATTGCCTTCGCAAGTACGTTAAAACCCCTCTGCATACATGCCTAATAATTTTTCAGGCTGTATCCAGCTGTCAAGAAACGGGCGAAACAAAATTATCTTATTCGACTGAAACCGTTGTTTGCTTCACTCAAATTCATAAAGGGGAATAGGTGAATGAAATAGCCCAACTATTAAAATACGCCACTGAGAAAATAAATATGTATACATACCAAGTTAATTCACTGGAAGATCAAGTTATCTGCATTCCCAAACAAACTTACCGTTGGTTACAGACGTCGAAGGAAGAGGATTTTCAGATCCTTCTGTCTCCAGAAAGCCAGATGGAGAACTTACGTCGTCAGCTGTATCGTCGCACTTCGGCTTGGTTCCAACAGTAGGGCGAAAGTGACGACAGGAAGGTCGGTGTTTGTGTTTCGCCTTAAAACCACTTGCCGATAGCTTGTTAATAATTTTCTGTGGGGCAGACTCAGCGCCGACGGGCCTGCTTCGTCTTTTGTATAAAAGCTGGTGCCTAGGAACGAACAGGAACCCATTTTAATAAAGGATTTAAATTTTTTTCGAAATTTTGGGTAAATTGTTCCAATGAAATGTAACTACACCCGAGTAAAATATATATGAAATATTTTCACAAAAGTATTTACACAGAGAATAGGGATTTATGGATTTAGGAGTGTAGGTTGGAAACTGTTGTAATTCGTTTCAATGGTGTAGCCAAAATACCGTAATCTTACACGCAGAAACGAATCTAGTAGGCGAAACACGAATAAAAGTTTTTTTTGAAATTATCACGAAAATTTCCTTACATAACATTTTGGTAGAAAATACACCTCGCACAAGAAAGGCACACAGTTCAGCGACACAAGTCAACTGATATCAACTAGAAGTGCACGGTAATTGCAGGTCACTCAGCTTGGTGACCATACTGCACACTCGACTGAGAGAATTCAGTCAGCACCAACACAAAGTATTAGACAAACAACATTGGTTACATCCAAATAGCCAATTAATGTATTCATATAATTTCACGTTCTTCCTTTGGCATTCCCTGAAATTTAATTATTCCTTTCAATGTGAAATTTCATAACGACAATTAAATCAAACACTTTCCAAACATCATTACCTCCCAATTAAATACACCTATTCAGGCAAACAAACAAGATTCATTCAAAATCGTATGGTGCAATAAATCAAGATGTACAACTACAATCCATGTTGTTAGAAGGTAGGATTAGTTGTATAAGTGTTGATGAGTAAATGTTTTTTCGTCTACATACATTTTCCGCTGAACACAGATTCTAGATTGTCCTCGATGAGTGCAGATTCCCTGAAGTCTCAGTTGGGAACGACTATATTTACATCTGCACTAACTTACAAACTAGTAATCGCAATAGCCATATCTTGTTTGATTTTCAAACCTCAAACTTTTACAATTCAGACACCCTATTTAACCAAGGAAAAATGCTTCGTGCAATATAAAACTTACGGATTCAGCTTTTTTGGCAATTGTGGTTGGTCTTGCATAGAAGAATCTCGACATGTAACATCGTAATCTGCCAAATCATTGTGGTTTACGGCATTTTTAATCGCTAAGGAGGCATCGTATATTTCTGAAGGTGGACTGAGTGAGCCTACGGGAAACACACTATTCGTTAGTGTTGTTGATTCGGTGTTAGATGTTTCATCATGCTGACTTTGATCAGCTTCCCCAGATGGGGATTTACGAGTGCCTACAAGGAAAAAATCGTCTTTACCTCTGATAGGAAAACTACACACTTTCGATGTACAATAACAAACTCAAACTTGAGAAGAAAATACGCATTGCAAACCACTATGTAAAAGCAGTTCATATGAAGTGCTAAAATCATTTTCCAAACGACTTAAAATCAAGAAGAAATACAAATTCCCAGGTCATTAAAATCTTGTTTGAAAGTAAGTTTCAAGGCAATGAGAATCCTGTTTAGTTCAGAAATGGAAAAACGCCATCTTGTCAATTTACGGGACTAAATCGACACGATATTTTATGGATACCATAATATTACCTGTGATCAAACCCAGATTGTCTCTGTTGGTTAAAGTAATATCCATGACAGATACTCACTGACTTCAACGTAGAACTTTGCACAGATGTGCAGCAGTTCGAGTTGCCACACTCCATGTAGCACACAATGCAAGAGAAGACAGTAAAGAGAAGTGTGAGGGGAAAAGAGGAGTAATATGGAAGATGTGATAAATCACAAAGAGTGAATGCATCCGACCATGACTATGTTAGTACATCTATGATGAATTTAAATAGGAATGGGGACAGTGGTCACCTGTCACGGGCACCACTGGTTGTCTTCACTTCAGATGAAAACTCTCCATGAATCCTCACACAGCTGCATGAGTGTGAGCAGAGTACCTTGGGCGGTATGATGTACTTCCTTCGCAATCCCTTCACTGGCAAACACTGTCATTATACCGCTCGACTGACAGAATCAAATTCAGCCTTCGGGTCAAGAAATACGGCCCATGTTCCATAATCTCCCGAAAGGCGAAAATCTGACCAATATAACCTCTTCACCGGTTTACTCGTGTTTGTTTCTCCCGAGCACCCCCTAATCTACGTATGAATATTGGGCCTAGAACCTTAGATACCATACTAGTCAAGCCAATCCCTCTATGATTATCAAAGGAAGACTTGTCTTTCTTTTCGTATACGGGTCTTAGTTAGAGACAGACCTGTTGGTAAATTGCAGTGTATCAAAAGATTGGTGTTTCTACCAGGCAGCTAGCTATGCTGGTTCCTCGCTCTCGAAAAGCATTAGAAAAGGTCAACACAACATATCTCATAACGGTCAACAGTTACAAGTATATTCTTAATGGATGCAACTTTACAAACGCTTCAAAACAGGGCGCATGATTGGTCTACAGCGGTTACCTGGACTATGTGATCACACAACACTAGTGCTTTCTCTCATTTAGATAATTCAATAAGAAATCATCGGCTGTGTCAGCAGCTAGGAAGTAACAACATAAGTGAACAAGATTTCTATTTGCAACCTAATTTAATCTTCATGATATCTTATGGGGATTAGTTGATTCTCTACTTAGTCCTCGCAGACTTGCTGCTACTGTGATAGTATTGCGATCGCAAGCTGAAAACTCCCTACTCGACTGCATCCCACTGGATAGCTGTGTGCACGTTGTCTGGCTTAATGAATCCATACTGATAAGATAGTGCTTTCCATGGACATCTTTCCACGAACTAACAGCAGTTTCGGAAGGGAACGATGAGTTTTATCAGAAGCTGCCTACTTTGTTGCCAAAGCCGAAACACTGAAAAAGGAAATTTGAACCTCCTCGAAAAGTATACCGGAGCATCTGTTACGGCTTGTACTGAGGAATAATCAATGGTGACTGTCTTTTTCAAATTTATTCAGATGACTACTTATCACTGGTCAGCAATAATATCATGCACAGACAGTATTTCATCTGGCGACCACCCATATTAGGCTAACGACGGCAAGAAGTAAACCATCTGTAGGTGAAGAGGATTGCCGTTCATTCTAAAACATAAGCTTGAACCTCAATCATTTGTTCATCCGTGCACATATATGTCGGTGGATGAACGGACACGGAAAACAAGCAGTTGAGAGACTCTTACGTGCCTCAGGAATCCAGATATCATACCTAGATTACTTCAGAGAATGTTAAAGGCTGCTGGTAAGCTGTAGGCAAAAAGTAGAGAATGTCACTAGGTATCTGAAGCTTTGCCTGGACTGACTGGTTCCTGTAGGCTCCGGACGTTGAAGAGTGTCGAGAGCTTATCAAATGAAACCTTATGAAAAGTTTTCGTAATGACTGCTGGTACTGGTGGATGAGGAAAGTGTAGGAAATAGAAACGGCATCAGCGATAGGTAATACCCGTTAACCGTCTAAGCTCATTTAGGGAAATGGGCACTAAAATACCTATAGTCAGTTAAGCTGCTGTTTACTGTTTTAGGCGCCCGACTAGCAACCACTAAGTCGCGAATTTGAATCCCGCAGCCCACAGAGAGGCTTGAGCAGGAAGGTAGTATGATTAGTCGTCATACAATAGGGGTATGCCAACTGCATGGAAACGCAAGTGGAAGTTGTATAATATTTCCTTTCTTCATTCACGGGAAGTGGAGTGAGATTAGAGGACGATGGAGAACTAATACCTAAGATGAGAAAGCTGGAACATCGTGCAGTATGCAGACGATTAGTAAGCAGCTGTACTACAACTGCCCGCCATCAAAACCCCGTCTGAGTTTCCTCTTAGTGTAGCGTAAGTCGCAAAAGCCATCTCTGATCTAGGAGGGAAAGCAGCGGAAATTTATACAGTAACATGTATACAGTTACACTACATATATGTATATCTGCGCATAAATATATATATATATGTGTATATATACTGGCGTAAGCGTGATATCCAGTCATCCATCAGCTGAGGTGTCGCTGAAAGCGGGAGGTAAAATATGACAAGCAGTTATTAACAAGAGGACCACATTCACAATCATTTTGGGTGGAGCAACATGGTTAGTCATAAAGAGGCTACGCGTAGTGTTAGGTAAGAAGGGAAAGTCCTCCAATGAAGTCAAAGAGCTCGAGTCACTAACTTTCCTGACAAAGTTAACTGAAATACACTTTTTCCTTAGTTTCATGTGTACTTTTCTAGAGTGTGCGATTTTGTGCATGGATTCGCGCTGATGAGTCAACTCGTCTTAATTCTGCTGGTTCTGATAGAAATGAAACTGAACACCACAGCATTCTGTAGTGTTAAGTCGTAGGCTTTGTTTATTTAGCATATATCAGGGCTTACAGGAAATAATCACCTGCATGCATCACATTAAATTAGTTTAGAAAGCTCTCACCAGACTAGTTATTTCAGTCTTGTTATCCAACTGCGAGAAAGGTGGAAAACCACAGAAAACTGCCGAGGAAGTAGTTATCGAAAGTCAGTAATGTAGAGTGTAATGAAGTTTCTGTTCGAATGAATATCTGATACAGTAAACAATAATGCGTATGAGTAAAGTACTTACCAGTAGGTGTTGTGTTGACATGGTTGTCCAGGATACTTTCCGTCACAGTGTCTTGGACACATGGGCGTTTCTTGATTGGTTGCTTGATACTGCTGCTCGAGGTCGAAACGGATGCACCATCTGATGCTGAAGTCTTTCAAATATCAAGGAAAAATTTACGAGCACAGTTCAGCCATAATTTTCAAAATATGCAACTTGTCAGATCACAACTGTTATGAAAACAACTACATATTTTCCTGGGGCATACGTAGGCAGTTCTCATGCACTAGTTACTACGAACGTTTATTCTCACCCAAGTGCACACAACAGAAAAACAGATGAGAAGTTCGAATGGGCTTATTTTGATAAAATGAATATTAATACTGGATTCGAAGAAACGATCAGTGGTGAGACACAACAGTTATTGGTCTTGGAGAAGTCTAGCATTACTCCGTCTACTGTTTCTCGTCTTCCAAAAATAGCTAAATAAGACCTATTTCTGCATCTTCTTGAGAAGCAGCAGATACAAAAATGTATTTCTGTAAGCTTAGATGACAATGAAGTAATAGGGCAGGTTAGTTGTAGGCTGAAAACAACTTATAAACGCAGATTGTAAGTAGGGAAAACCAAAGAAATGAAAAATGCAGCGCAAGTAAGGTCACAAAGTCAATTCAGTTACTAAGAAAGTTAGAAAACTAAGGGTTAGCAACATGGGTCAAAGTCCCCTTGCAAGAGAAGAGATTGTAAAATAAACAAGCTGCTTAGAGGAAGAATTCAACTCGATCTTAGAAACAATACAATTGTCACCTGTTTATCCGCATATTGAAGGGATGTTTGACAAACAACCTCAACTTAAGTTGAAAATTAAAAGCAGCAAGGCCTCCAGGTTCATTTTAAGAACTGTTTTTTAGAAGTTGGCTCAGGATTATCAGACAAAATTATTGCAATTTTAGTAGAAGCATACGAGTTGGACATTAGTTGCAGTTTTCTCCGCTACCCTCCTACCTATATTCATGACGTCCACTTCAACTAATTATAATTGCAATCATTTTGTGCATTTCCGTTTAGTCTTATTCAAGGTGAGAAAATTTCATCGATTTTGTACAGTGGTCTTACATCTTAATTTTGATATTCACTTTACTGATTTCTGAAACATTGTTTTTCTTAGTTCCATAATGGAAACGACTTCTGATTATCACAGGTGATCTACAGAATTAGTCATATGAGTGTAACAGGCACTGCACAAGGAAGGATGTGAACGGGATTCACATTACCGTCGGTTGTTACTATAAATCTGCACTACTCAATACTACCGCAGTCGTATTGATGTATTTGAGTGGCACAGAACTTCTGTCCGATTCACACATATATGAATAGACTTACAGAGGGAGATAGCCATATAAACGGGAAAGGGTACTACAGTAACTAATTTAGACAAAACAGCTTACATTCAAATGAGGACGTTTATGAATTAAGATGGACTTTGTTTTGCATCTCTCAGCACCCAACAAGTCAGCTGTGACATTGACTGTTCGGGAGCATACAGTGCACATAGCTCCCCCAGAAGAAAAGCTTTGTACTTGGCGACCTAAGAGACTTAGTATTTTTAAACTTGACTTACGCAAACCGCATATCTCCATTTCTTTGCCTTTCATGACATCCTCCATGTGCTTTAACGATCTAAGAACATAAGTGTATTGAGGAGTCTACCTTTTTAAAGATTCGTTCTCGTCCTGCAGGCGACGGACTTCGCTGTCAACACCTAGAGGATAATCAAAAAAGAACTCCATTACTAACCATTTTGAGCTCGTTGAAATTGTCTTCTGATTCCTATAAGCACTAGATATCACCACAAGTAAATCTTACTAGAAACAGAGGCAGAAACTTCCTTAGATAATGAAGTCCGTAGACTGATCAATGACCTGATAGAAGCACATTCCAACTCTTTAAATTTGTCATCCATATCTAGTTCTATAACCAGCGCCACAAGGTATGACTTCTGACAAGCGATTGTATAAAACAACAGTAGACCTTAAGTCCCATAGTTCGATTGAGGAAATAAAGAAGTGTATATAATTTAGGTTTCAATTCTTTAGATTTGAAAGGTTATTTCCATGTGACTGGCCAGAATTTCGCCGCCAAAACTCAGAAGGGCTTGTGCTTTAAAAGACATTATTAGTGGTGGCTGCAGATGTGATACTATCGTATTTCGATACAAATATCTAAGGATTGACTAAACCATCCACCACAAAGAATATCGTGCAATGCGAAATTTTCAAGAAATCACATGATGAATTTAAATAGGTTAGGAATTGTTACCGTTGGATTAATACTTTTGCAATTTCCTGGGTCTCCGAGTAGAACATAGGGCTTCAACGGCACATCCTCACTTAGTCCCATTCTCTGTAGTCGTCTCCAAATGGATCCACAACTGCATATGGTCCTTCATCTCCTCACATGTTTACCCTCAAGTCACTCTCGGACTCCCAGCTAGTCGTCTCCCATTCGGGTTTCACTCGAGGGCAACACAAATGATTGCACTCAGTGGTCTCTTCAGTGTGTGTCCGATCCATCTTCACTTTCCTAGCCATATATGTTGGATATTAGTTTCACGATGAGTCTGCTACTAGGGTTCTCTGTCGCTTATCCTTCCAGCCACCTGATCTTCATTCTGAAGCGAAGACAGCTATTGATGAAATTCTGAAGTAGGCTGCTGGAAATGTGTTTCGTGACGCGCGAATTCTCAGAGCCATGTAAAAGAAATGGATGGCAATTAGTGTTGAAAATCCGAATCTTGTTCTTTATGCTGACAGGTATCAGATTTCTGCACTGATTACATACTGATGAAGGTCTGTCTTGCTTTTCTGATCTTGCCTTCCGCATCCTGATTTATGCCGCCCGTAGTTGAACCGATACTGCCTAAATAAGTGAAAGAGCTGACTTCCTTCGGACTTCTCCCGTTGTCAGTGATTGGTGTTTGGTGGTATTGGTTAGCTTTCTTTATCACCTTCGTCCTCTTAATGCTTATTTGAAGTCTTGTGTGTTCTCTGTTTTTTCTGCTCACTCGCTGGTATACGACTGTAGAGCTTCTTGTTTTTGTGACTTATACTGTAGTTATAATGTTGTAACAAGAGCGTAAACTAAGCTTTTTTTGTATCTGTTGAGAGGAGCGTATCTATTCTGAAACGGATTTGCTGACGGCTATTTCCCCATTAAGTCTTTGATAAATGTAATTTTAACAATTTTCACAGCACATAAATCAATAACAGACCAGATGTCTGCAAATTAGTAAAACGCTCCACTGTTTTATAGTATCAATAACCTAAGATACAAACGTTTTTCTTCCGCCGTCACTCCTCTACCAGATATTTGCAGAGAGATCATCTCGGTATGTATCCAAAGCTCACACTCAGGAAACAGGTCGATATGTGCTGTTCAAAACCTCTGGCAAGCCTTGGAATAAACGTAAGTTCATGGTCTTAAGCATGACATGTTTTACTCATTCTTTGTTCAGTTCAGCATAGGGCTACTCAATGATCCCGAAACCTTTGTGGAAAGTCGAGCAGGATTCAGACCACTCTGCAACTCAAAAAATAATTAGAAAGGCATCTATGTATGAGATGAATCATAAGTACCTTACAATTATTGCTTGTCATGATCTAAAACGTAATACATGTTGTAAGAGGAGAGACACTAAGACACTAATGCTCAAGTATCCTGATTATAACTATGAAACCTCCTTTTCGCAATAGCTGAAATGTTTTGTAATCCTACTTTCAGTAAGAGTGTTTAGACAAGCACTAATCCATAACGATGAAGTGCTTGTTGCTTTGCAGAAAGGGTGAAGGCTTTCGGGGGTGTCAATAACCACACTGATACACCGTTATATTAGTCTGTAGTGTACCTTGAACCTCTAAATTTTTGTCTTAAAGCATTCGTCCCCTTTTGGCACCACAACATCTTGTGATTTCCGACGCGACTGTACGTACTTGGTTCGTTCCCTTGTTGTGCTGCCATTCAGCATACTCTTCAAGCTTACTAGCCAGCCGAGGTATCTGATAAGTTGCACAGCATTCTTATTTATTTAAATTGATATTTCATCTGTGTAGAATACAACTCTCTTCAGGAGAACTTCGAGTCTCAAGCCATTTTACTTTGAGTTCGTTGAGCAGTACTTACACGCTAGGTAGAGGACCGCCAAGGTTATTAATAGGATATGTATTTAGTAAGTACAGTTAGTTGAGGTCTATCTTCAGTAAAGCCAACACTTAAAAGACATTGAGTCATCTACTGACTGTCAATTCGTAAATTCACCGGATAATGTTGACTGCCATCTTGAGATTTCTAGTATTCTTTATGAACATCTTTTGGTGTTGAAAGTCGGAAACGATAGTGGAACATATCCTCGAATGAATGAGCGAATGAAATTTGACATTTTGTACTATGGTATTCATTTTCTGTGGACTAAATATCTTATAGACGTCTGAGTTCTATCGCTCTTCTCCTTTTTGAACGAGATATGCAGCTGTGGGTACCTCTGATAAAACTGAAGTAGATTACTAATAATAAAGGAGTGAATTCGCCATTTCTATATATTCTTAATAGAAAGGCCATGAAGTACGATGCTACTGGTTATTTGTTACATTATTTCCAAATCATGAAAAGTTTTCAGTTTTTAAAATGTTCGGTATACAATTATATCCCTAATGTTACAGAATATCACTATGCACTTACACATACTTCTTAAAAACTGTGAAGCCTTATGAGCCACAACAACTAACGCTTAGTTTATGCATTCTGTTTCACAGTTTCGTGATTTTAAATAAAATCACAGCTGAGTTATCATTATTATATCACAGACGATTGGGCCTGAATATTGAGAAATAGTGCAGAGTATGAAGAGAACACAGAGATATACAATGCACCACAATTCACCTACCTGTCCGCCATCTGATCCAGTCATCACTTATAGACAAGTTGACTGAAGAAAGCGAAATGTATGAGATTCAACTGAATGAACTAACTTCCTTGATCCCCAACAAGATTTCCGCGGTTGACCTGTTCGCCAGTGTGCTGTATTAGTTAACATCCTAAGATTAATTGTTTCCCGAAGTAATCCCGGCTTTCGTTCAATATTATGGGTGGTTGTTTTGATAGAATTATCGGTTTCTTAATCTGTGCGAATGACAGGATTTGTCGGCGGCATGCCCTCTATTTCATTATAACTAATTTTCATTCAAATAACTTCGTTGTTTTCGGTGATTATTCTTCGGGCATTTTCATTCGTTAACACCTTTCATTTTAAACTTTATTATAGTGTCTCATTTAACAGCCACAGGATCTGGTTTTAAAAACTGTTTCCATGGAGGTAGATCCCCTAATATCGACAAAAGTTAGATTATCTGAGTTAATCGACATGATCCAGGAATATGGTTCGCTCAGCTGCAGCACCTCTTCGACCGGCAAAGCATCAAGTCTGAGAATACTAGCCATAGTGACATGTATTCTTAGTTATCTTATGAGATTAGAGACGAGTTGACCTCGCCACACACAGTGCTTATTTATGAGGATGTAGAATGCCTGTCATTGTTCGGAAACCATCTCAAAAGTGGTCGTTTCGAGAGGAGAACACGGAAGACAGTGCCCTATATAGTTCTGCACCGCTTGCAATAGTGGGAGACAGGACGGTTAGGGAGGCTGTGCTAATGTTGGGGTGGATGCCAGACCTTCTGGAGTAAGCACAACACGCAACGAGTGCTTGTAGGGTCCCAAAATAGTTCTCTAAACCAGCTAAACCTCAACCGTTTCACCATCAACGGCGAATCTGGTTGTCTGTGAGGACTGGAGGACACGGTGGTCAGGATAATTCTCAGGGGATAAGATCTTGGCAGATTCGTTGGGGTGTGATTATCCCCCTGTGCATCACCGCTAATAGGTACCTCTTTCAGCAGTCGTTAGTCTTAAATTGTCCCCTCGCTATATGGCGTAGTGTCAAGAGCAGCCTGGCCACCGGGTGACGTGGGCCAACTCAAATAGTCAGCAATTGGTGTGGCTAGTACCCTCGTCTAGCAGGATCGATAGTCGCACATCAATTGTGAGCACTAAATCTAGTGTAAATAAGTGAAAACGAGTTCAAAATTATTCTAGCAGCACAACTAACTGGTTTCCTAGATGCTTAAATCTCGACTTCGCTCTTGAACAGTTGATGAGCATCGCAGATCGAACGTTGGAGGAGAACTACATGCGCATCGGTGACGACCTGGTTATCCCAGGAAGTGTGGCCAGGCGTTGCCGAAAACAGTAGGACAAATACAGCTGGCACATGGTAATCGGGGACGATCACCCAACAAGCATAGTCTTCGATCAAGAAGCAGACCCAGACAAACCAGATAAATGGGGATTGGTACACAATCAGAAGAATGCACACACGAATCTGGCCTAAGCCACATCACAGCCAAAACGGAAACTGTTGGCCCTGTCTCAGGTAGCAGTACTTAGAAGAGGTTCCGGACAGTCCCTTATTACGTCACAAAATATAATCCGGACATGGAATTCTTCGTTGATAGAGAAGTTCCACTCAGTGTCATGTCAAAATAGAGGCCACTTCGGTACGATAACCTCACCTATAACGCGGCATGTCTCCAATATAGCTCTGATTTCGAGTTCGGAGAGGAAACTATTTACGAATATCATCAGGTTTAGGTGATAGCTTCCATAGATTTCCACTATGGCCGAAATAATCTTCTTAGAAAGGTACGAATTTCTGGTAGACAGTGGGAGGGGACGGTTAACAGTGAAAGCATCCTCCCGGTATTCGAATGGCAAGGCAGGTAGCACTATGTGTTGAATGCAATGTAGTTTTCATCACTGTAGGCCGGGAGGTTGCAGATGACATTGGGGGAAATCGTATATCCAAGGGCGACCAACCCTCCAAATTCTAAGTTTGGTCCAAAAATTACTCAC